AACATTACATTTTTATTGATATAGATTATTGTACACTTGAGTCACTTTCACAGTAGCAAAGATAAAAAATCTCTTTTCCTTAATATTTCTTCTCTCTCACACACACACATATTATCTTTCACTTTACTTACTTAGGCAATCCCTCGTTGTCTGAGTAAGATGGCCTTTCAAGTGTAGTGTCTTGGCGGTAGATATGTATGTGACTGTGGAGCCTATTCTTGATCCATATGTTTTTCCACAATGTGGGCATCGATTTCCAAGTGGAAGGCAGTCCTGGTCAGGGTTGGCTTGATGTTGACTTCTTCCTCTTAGCACGTTACTCTCTTCCGCCCTCCATTTGTGCCTCTTCAAATTCCACAGCACTGTTGGCCACAACTGACCTCCAGTTAGAGCGCTCAAGGGCCAGGTCTTCCCAGTTCTAAGTGTCTTTTTCTGTCTACTAGCATTACGTTTCCCATTTTAGAGTTGGGAGTATAGTAACTGCCTTGGGAGATTGTGATTGGGCATTTGAACAACGTGGCCAGTCCAGCAGAGTTAATGGTGTAGGAGCATCGCTTCAATGCTTGTGGTCTTTGCTTCTTCCAGCACGCTGACATTTGTCTGCCTGACTTCTCAAGGGATTTGCAGGATTTTTCAGAGGCAACACTGATATAGAATTGGTGCCTAACAAAGCAATCACTGGACATAAGCACATTCCAACATGAGAACTTTTGACTCTCCATCTCTCATGAGAAGATACCCTGAGTAGCATATCATTATCTCCTTGCTTCAGAAACCACAAGAATCAGTGCAGGATTTTCCGGAGGGTAATAATAATAATAATAATCATCATCATCTTTATTTGTACCCCACCACCATCTCCCCAATGGGGACTCGGTGCGGCTTACATGAGGCCAAGCCCAAACACCAATTACATAAAATAAAAACGAAAACGCAAATAATAAACAATAATAACGTAATTACAGAAACAAATGAAAACATAGCAGTATAAGATTACAATAAGCACAATCACAATGACAATGGGCAGGCAACATGTAATGGATAAAAGAAAAGCTGATTAAAACCAGATTAAAAACTCAGGCGAGATAAAACAGAGACAGATTACTGTATATACTCAAGTATAAGCCTAGTTTTTCAGCCCCTTTTTTAGGCTGAAAAAAATCCCCTCAGCTTATACTCGAGTCAAGGTTATTTATTATTTTAACCTGCTATTAGTATTACTTTTATTACATTTATTATTTTACTCTATTAATATTATTACATTTACGTTATTTTACTGTATTATTATATTTATTGCATTTATTATTTTACTCTATTATTGTTATTATTACATTTATTACTTTATTATTATTACTATTATTATTAAATTTCCATTATTTACTCTATTATTTTTATTACATGTTATTACATTTATTATTTTTTCTATCTTTACAGGTAATAGGTAAGCGCATGTACATTGAAGGAGGTTAGAATAATGGTTGAATCAGAGTTGGGCACTTATCTTAAATTACAGTTTTGTGTAAATACTCAAAAACATTTAACCTACTGATCATTACCGGTAGCAGCTA